GAGTCGAACTTCAGCACCTGAAAAAGAAACAGAGGATAAATGAACACGTCTGTGCAGCTGGATTTGTAGCAATGCTCGACGTGAAGATCTGAGCGAACGTACCTGTCCGCTCTCCACATGCAGGGCGAGGGCGACGTGATCCCAAACATAATACTCTGGCCAATTATCCAGCTCCCAGGCTTCCATCAGGTTGTCCTCAGGTCTGCAGTTCAGCTCATACCTGGGAGGAAGCAGCATCTGAATCAGCCCACAGAGGTTAAACTGCATCACTGCGCCTCACTGACGCTGCTCAGGTCAGCGCTGAAGTGTAAAGACACTCTGAGTGTCCTGAAGTCACGGCCTGGTTTTTGTTCAGCATCAGTGTTTGTCTCTCACTAACTCTGAACTACATCACAGTTTCAGTAAAGCTGGGCCCGTGTACTGTCTGTGGCACAGGAACTAGGTCCTCCTTTCACCATCATCTTCTCACCGTGAGTCTACATGTGTTAGTAAGTTTCATTAACGATAATAAAGTTATTTTACAAATCAGCTGATTCTGAATCTAGCAGCTGTTTTTTAAATGTGTTTAAACTCGGAGTGGCATGACATCGTATACAAACACTTGTGTTCAGTAAACCAGTTTGAGATGATCTGGCCTGTGTGACATGGCGTGTTACCCTGCTGGAAGCAGCCAATCAGAAGATGGCACAGTGTGGTCGTGTGAGGACGGTTGTCTGGGAAACTCCCAGCAGATGAGCAGCTCCTGAAACACCAACCGCCATGCCACACTCTGGGTCAGACCTTCCCCCTCCCATCCTGATGCTCAGCTTCGGTCGTTTTGATCACGTCTACATGTCTAGCTGCGCTGAGCTGCTGCTCAGATGTTTGAGAAGGTGTATCTAAGAAACTGGCCGTGAGTGTGTGGTTCGGTGGACTCCATGGAAATCTTTATGTGTTTCTTACCAGTGTGTCCCACACATGGCCTCTGGTCTCCAGATGAAGATGTTTTCTTCTCGTCTGTAAGCACAGACGGCGTTCGGGTCGTCATCGGGCAGCTCGGGGTACTCGGAGAAGCGCCCGTCATCGTGCGGGCTATGGACCAGCACGGCATACACCACTTCCTGTTTGTACAGGGAGGTCTTGAACACTCGCAAGACGGGCGGAGCACCGAAGCAAAACTGGAGACAAATAAACAGGTTTCAGTGGAGGGAACGCTGCACACCACGCAGAGATGTGACAAGTGCTCAACTTAGAGCTCTTTGTTGGTGTCAGACTGTTTCGTGAAAGGCTGGTCACAGACTTATAATCTTTGCAGCACTGGTTCCGCCCATGTGTTTGGTGCTTTGGGGTCAGGTACAAGGACCAGACTGAGAATGAGTGAAAAAGCAGCCAATGTCTAAATACAAACTCTGAAAGAGCGTCAGGAAATCTGTAGGACTCTTTAGATGTCACAATCAAGTCTGGCTGTTGGAAGAAAAATGTAAGGAAGACGTTTACTCACCTCTACACCGAGGTTATTACACGGTAATAAAACTACACCAAAAATTAGACCTTATATACAACAAACTGAAACTGATCGAAATGAAATTTAATGAACATGAAAAACTAAAGTAAAATAAATTTACAAAGGAAATGTTTTTGTTTTGTGATTTAATATTCTGGTAAAATCACAAACTGCCTGATCAGGTCAGATGGAAGTTTTTATGAGGCTTCTCCTTATATTTGAATATCTATGCAGATAAATTACATCTTCTCTGGTCTTTTCAATAAATACAATAATGAGTCATGAAGACTAAAACTGAGACCGAAACTAATAAAACTAAATGAAAACGAAACATTTTCAAACTATAAAAACTAAACTGAGACAAGCAAACTGAACTGGAGACTTCCTGAAACTGAAATGATTTAAAAACAAAAAAAGTCAAAACGAAATCAAATTTTAAAAACTGTAATAACTGAAATAATAATGATCTACACGTGGTCAGCAGAGTTTTGGCGGGCTGGAGGTGGTGGCTGAACTAAACACTTAAAAAATGTATTTATGAATAAATAAAATTCAGTTTGTAATGAGTGAGCAGGCGTCTCATCAGTGTCTGCTGTAATAAAACAGCATTATCAAAGGTTAGTAAGTGTTTCAAATTTAAACTGAAGGAGTCCGTACCTGCTCGCTGTAGGCCTCCAGCACCTCCTCCACCGTGAAGGTGAAGCGGTACGATCCATACCTGGACTTCTCACTGAAGGCTGGAGAGGAGGCGAACTTCCTCAGGAAGCTCTGCTGCCTCCGGGCCTGCTCCTCGGTCCGGTATGGGAAGGTCTTCTTCAGGAGCCTCCTCTCAGCTGACCGGATCTCCTCTGGTGCAACAGCCAGACTCCACCACACCAGGGACGGCTCTTCAGGGTCCTTGACGCCGCCGTGTGGATCCTTGAAGCCTCCATCCTTCGAGATCCAGCACAGTGACCCTCTCTCTGTGTCGTGTTTCACATGAGAGACGTGAAACTCCGGCCGGGGGTACGGAGGGATGTATTTTTTATTTTTGAACAGGTATTTTTTCCTTTTCGTATCCAGGTAGGAATGTCGAGCTTTCGATTTCAGCTCTTTCAGCTTTAAGTGTTCACCCCTTACAAAATATTCTCTATAGTCTCTGCGGTTTTTTCGCTTCTCCATGATTAGATGAAGGATGGTGGCGATCATAAAAACTGTAAGGACCACGCCCAGTAACTGAAGCTGGTTACCAAGAAATGAAAGTTAATTTTTACAGGTTTAAGGGGAAGTTCAAGAGTTTATCAAGCATTTCATCTTGCGAACAGACAAACAGACACTCATTTTAATTTTAATATACATTTTTCTTCTTTTTATGTTATATTTATTTATTTATTGTTAATTCATTTATTGTCACAAATCAACTCTAATTAGAATTCTGACATCAGGAACATGAGGTGAGGAATCTGTGTTCACCGACAGTCCGTGAAGGCATCGTGGACAGCGGCGGCCCCGCCGACGTCGCAGTCACATGACGAGGTGGACAGAAACAAACATGGCGCCGCGAAAGTAAGGAAAAGTGCTGGGTGAGTGTTTGTGAGCGGAGCGCTGGCCTTCAACCGCCGCCTCAGCCGCTCGGAGTGCCGGGCAGGAGCGGCAGGCCGACCCGCTCTCTAGCGTCACGCTTTAGTTGCGGGAAAACCGAAAAGCGCCAACTTTTAACGGCCTCTTTTCGCTGACTCGTGTGGTCAGCTTGTTTCCATATCAACCGCTGCCCTCGCGCCGTGTGAGCTAACGTTACGTCCGGTGTGCGATGTTTCAGGCCGCTCACGCGCCTCTGTTTGTCTTTGTGTTAACGCAGAGGGCAGTTTGTTCAGGCCCCACCGCAGGACAGATGAGAGGAGGGAGGCGAAGAGGAGGAGGAGACCCACCATCATCAGGTGAAGCAGGTAGTAGGCGTGGCCTGAGGGCTGTCATTCATTCTGCTGTTTGTTATTAAAGACGGAAACAAGCGGTTCGAAGGATTAAAGCTTCGTGTTTTGGGGGTGAACTGACCCTTTAAATAATCCCGCTGAGCAATCACAAACTTAAATTATTTAATCGTGACCATCAAAGCAAACTTCAGACTCGTATCACACATTCATGTTTGTTTTCTCAGCTGCTGTGCAAAAGTCTTGAGCCACCGCTCGTAATTATTTGGGATTTTACTCCATTGGGGACTTTTCTTTACATTTAAAATCAAAAAATGTGGAAAGAAAAAACAAAGTTTGGGGTATGGAAAGTATGTTTGAACCAGGAAGGTGATTCCCAAAGATCTATTAGCTGAAACTAGGTATATCTCAGCATGGTGTGCTGTGTGTTTTTAACAAAGAGGAGGAAGCTAGACGAGTGGAGGACAGAAGAAGCGAGAGGTGTTAACAGCAGGTGACAGTCATGTCCTTCAGAGAGAAGACCTGAGAGATCACTGAAGCCTCATCAGGAGTGGTCTCAGGGGAAGGATGGCTCTCAGGAAGCCATTCTTAAAGAAGGGAAACGGGTTTGCCTCATCACACCTGAACTGGATTTAACATTAATGGACACAGGTCTGGTAGAGCGACCAATCAAAATCATGGTCCGAATGTGTGGAGGAGGTCAGGAGGGAGCTGCAACAGCGAGTGTCTACAGCCGTCTGTAAAACATGGTGGAGGCCTTGTCGTGGTCTCTGCTGTCCTTCAATCAGTGTGTTGATCTCATCAAAACTGAATTATCAACTCTATGAAAGTGCGGTCAGATTTCCACACGCCATCTGGAAACATCTGACTGGCAGCAGCTTCGTTTTTCAGCATGAGGCTGATGCCAAACACACTGCCAGTGCAGGAGAAGCCTGAGGAACACCATCAGTCACAGATTGGTCTCGACAGAGCCCGGACCTCAACATCCCTGAAGCAGAGTGAGATCATTCTGATGGAGAACAGGACAAAAAACAGAAACATCCAAAGAAGAGCTTTGAATGTCCCTCAGGACACTTGGAGAATCATTTCTGAAGATTCCTCAGAGAGTTTGGACTGTGCTGGAGGATAAAGTGATCGGACCAATTATCGACTTCACCAATCCAATGATGATTGGAGCAGAAGACAGTGGTTGGGTGGATCCTAATGTTACGACTGTGGTGATATTTGAGATCAGAAACGACGTGTTAGTGAAACCCTGTTTGGAGCTCGGCAGCCACATGTTTTATTACGTGTTTATGGAAGCAGTGGATCTAAAGATGATTACTAATAACTTTAACTCAATGATTTTACGGCTGGTTGGTTTATTATTTAGAGTTTTGTGTGTCTGCTGGCTGCAGTTACTCAGGAACAGAGTAAGATGGCGCTGAGGAAGCAAAAGCTCATCGACGTGGCCTCTGAGAGCCAGAAGGAGGAGGACTCGCAGGAGGACGAAGCTGCAGACGAGCAGGTGAAGAAACGCGAGCGTCCTGAATGAACATGAGGTCGCTCTCGTGGAACCAGGATCAGTAAAGTCTGACTGATGATCTGGCAGCCGCATGAAAAACAACATCAGAACTGTTTGTCCTTTTTTGTCTCTTCAGGACGAGCTCTCGACGTCGCTGCTCGCCACGTCAATGGCGAGGGAGAAACAGCAGAGGGAGAGCAAATCCAAACCTAAAGGTGCAGAAGCATGGAGGTGGAATCAGGGCATTTCGGGAGGTTCAGGAACTGCTGAACCTGTTTCATTTTGAGGGTGTAAGCAGGACTTTGGTGATGAAGCTCTGTGTGTGTGTTTGCAGAGATGTCCGAGGAGGAGATGATGGACTTGGCTCTGCGCCTGAGCGAACAGGAAGCCAGCGCCACAGCACTCAGACGGCAGCAAGAGGAGGAGGAGGCCATGATGAGGGCCATCAAGGAGAGCGTGAGTACAGAGCTGGAGCAGGCGTGCACGCATCTGGGTTTTATTTCTGTCCTGTTTACCTGTCGGTCAGCAGCTGATGGCAGTTTGCACCAATCAGGGCCTCTCTGCAGAGCGCCGGCTCTTCTTCTCTAAGACGATGTTACAGATCTGCGTGAATCCTGACATTAGCATGGTTTACTTTTATGCGCTTCTGAGAGTTTCATTCATGTTCTTTAAAGTTAGCTAAAAGCTACAGAACAGCACAGATTACAATGCTAATCTTAGTAAATAAACAAATCAGAGCAAACAGACAAATGAATGCAGAGAAAGATGTTCCTGCTTTTCCTCTCACAGATGGTCGGCCAGACGCAGGCGTGCCGGACCCCCAAGAGTCCATCTCAGCCCACCGACGTTTCCCTCAGGCTCTGCTCCCGCCGCAAACTAGCGTACTCGAACGGGAAGACAACGCTCGCCATCGATCGAGGAGCCTCAGAGGACGGCTGCCTTCAAGGTAACACCGGCGTCCATCTGAGGTCAGACTTCACACCAGGAAATAAATATGAAAGGCACTGTTTCTTTGTTCCAGCAGGATCTGGAGACGGTGACAACGGGAGTTTAAAGAGGAAGAGGAAAGCAGGGAGTCCTCTGCCGGAGATGCCAGACTTGTCGCAGACTCAGGTCTACTCTCAGGCGTCTCCCTGCAGCTCCGAGTCTCTGCCGGCTCTCCCCGACTCGCCGCAGGTTCGTCGTCGTCTGCGATCTGTAGGGAAACGTGCGTCAGAAAAGTTGTTTAAAGATTCATCTCTTTGTTTCCTCCCAGAGCTCCGGCTCCACGCAGATCGAGGACTCACAGCTGCATCGGTCTCCCGTCTTTCCACTGACGGGCTGCCGTGCGGAGGTCCGCATCGGCCGGCTGAGCCAGGACTTGCTGGACACCTGCAGGAGCTCCGGGTTCGTGCTGTGCTCTCAGAATGGTTCGAACGCCACCCAAAAGTCCCCTCGTCCCGAGAGCCCGACGTTCCCTGACAGTGACGTCGCCTCATGTCCCAAAAGCCCCGCCCTGTCTGGACCAGATCCCGACAACAGCGACGAGATTGAGCCGAGCCCCGAGTGCGCTAAAAGCCCCGTGTTTGGCAGGAACGCTCAGCACGAGAGCTCGCCGAGCGCCCGCAGACCTCGAGACGCCGTGCACAGCCAAGACGGTGAAAACTCAGGATTCACGTTTTCTTCTCAGGACAGTTTAACCCCCTCCGTGAGACCCACGTCCCCCGTGTTCCCACGAAGCCCCGGCATTCCTCCATCAGAACGGTTAGCATTCCCAGAAAGTCCCAACAGAGGACAGGCCGAGCCGAGCCACGCCCACTCCGAGAGCCCCGTGTTCGGACTGCAGCAGCAGAGGTGCGAGAGTCCTCCAGCCAACAGGAAGGTGAGCTCAGAGGTCGCAGTGCTGCATGCAGGGTCAGAGCGCGCTTTCCCTCAGCTCGATACATTTACGTGGATTCTCTGAAAGCGTCACGATGAGACGCTCGATCGTGTGCCTCACTGGTCCACACTGGGCACTCAGTTATTTGATGTTTATGTGACTTTTCAGACTCTTTTCTCTATTTTCGTTGCTCTTTATTGCAGGACGGTCAGAGTCGATTGGACGGGCTGAAAGCGTCCGAGTCAGGTAGGAAGGTCGCTCGCTCTGCTTTCGGACTGTGTGGACTGTGTCTGTTTTTATTGACGGTGTTTTTATTCTGGATTTCCTCGATGCAGACGAGCTGAGCGGGCGGGCCAAAGCCCCGAACCCGGCCGAGAGTCAGCTGACCAGCGATATGACGCTAGTCTGGTCTGACGGGGACGAGGACGTCACGGTACACAGCTGATCATTTTACTACGAGAACACAGCTCAGCTCGTCCACACAGACTGCAGACGAAGACGGGCGATGTCTTCATCTCTGTCACATCATCTTAAAAATGTCGTTTTTTGCTTTTTTGTTTTTCCTGCAGCCGACCGGCTCTCCCAGCCCCGTCTTCCCAGAGGAGACGTCAGTTCATCAGGCGGAGAGCCCGCCGGCCTCCCTGAACCACGTGGCTGCTTCTTCAGGGGCGACTGGATCAAACTGCAGGTACGAAACCTCACGTGTCAGCTGTCAGGCTCACGAGACTCTGGTGAGTAAAAGATGAGGGGAGCAGGATGTTCACCTGTTTCTCTTTTTCAACCCTGAAATAACATTCACCTGTCTCACAGCCTGCGTTACACCCACCCTCAGTCACCTGAGGTGGTTCATGCTCGTCCCAGCGCCTCCTCCCTGTCGAGTTTATCCAGGCAGATCTGTGGGGTTTTGTGCACGTTACTTGGATCCAGCTGTAACGTTTGTGCACACACAGACAGGACAGTGAAGTCCTGCTGCCGAACGAATCATGCAAACCAGTTTCCGTCTTCTCTCTGTCTGTTTGCAGCCTGCGTCCTCAGAGCAGCTCCAACAGACAAGCTTCACCTGAAACTTCTCCCAAGTCCGGCACAGAGGAGCTGTGGCCTGATCGCAGCAGGACGCTCTCCTCTGTCAGCTCTGGAGAGTCCGCCGACTCCACCACGGTTC